AAATAGACCAAGTAGTCCATTCATAAGATGGAATTTGCGTCGCGTCGGGGAGATGTAAATCAATATTAGGTTTTTGCCCTTCATCGACGAATAAACACTGTGTAGTGTTTCCCGAGTGAAAGTTTCACCGAATGATTTTTTCCAACATTTCAAATTTCACTCAGGAGGTAATATACAGAGTACTTTTGTAGTGTTTATACGTCGCGACGCGTCGACGAAGGGCAAAAACCTGATCATAAGACCAACGTGCAATTGTAGAATGCAGAATGTCACTTGGAGTATTAACATTACTCCATAATTATTCATTTAAAGGTCAAACCACATGTATGCAAGGGGTCCTCTCATGGCAGGGGCGTCGCCAGGATTTTTTTCTGGGAGGGGGGGGAGAGCACATCCCCCAATCCTCAATTTCTCCAGCATATTCTCAATCTATTTTGCCAACCTCACCCCACCCACTCCCTAATTGACACCCACGGCCATTTTTGTTACGTGTGTATTGAATTAATCGCAAATAAGACTTCGCGTCTGTTTTTTTTCCATTGTTTGTTCTTTTTCTTTTCGTTTTCCTCCCTTTACTAATGTTTTGTTGTTGTTTTTCGCCCCCCCCCCTGTGACGCCCATGGGCTCATGTTTACAATAATATGCTTTCTGATGAGTCCCTCCACAGTTTTCAATCAGCTGTGTGGCACGTACCGTATGCAATACTCTGATTAATTTGTGAACATTGTGGAAAACAAAACAACTGAAAATGAACCGTGATTTCACAACATCAGGGAAAACAGCGATATTAGCAGGCCCTTCGGTTATCCATTTGGAAATAGCCTGCCAATTGTATTAAACAGTGGCGTAGCCAGGAATTTTTCAGTGGGGGGGGGGGGGGGCCGCTGGGGGGGGGGGCTGGAACATTTCATTGGGGGGGGCGTCAGGTAGATCAATGATAATATTTTTAGAAACTCAAAATCTCAGTGGGGGGCGACTGGGGGCGAAAAGGTTTCATGGGGGGTCGCCCCCCCACGCCCCCCACGCCCCCCCCCCCCCCTATAGGGATGACATTTGTCATTGACAGTGCTCGGCCAATAACGATTATTTTAGTTTCGAAAAAACACATCCACGCTTTGTGCTCTTTGAGCACATCCACGAAGCATTAACTAGTTTTTTTGCACGCATGGGTGTTTTTACCATAGCGTCAAAACAAACAGTTCAACAACCTTGGGGTGAGGACATTCATTACGTTGATAAAATTCTCTAAACGTTGATGTAAGAAACATGCTAATTGGACAATAAATTTCGACGACCATTTTGGCTTGAAAAAATATAGCCCGTCAGTGTTTTGATTAGTAAGCACATGGTTAGCCACTCCACGCGAGCGCGCGTATTACGTACATTGTATATAAATGTGCACGCATGTTGTGTAACGTGTGTTCTGTAGAGTGTATGCAACGCTCTGCGTGCTTAATTTAGCTTATGTCCGTTTGCCTCTATCAAACTTTCATTATGTATTGTAGTGAGGAGTCTTTTGGGAGGCACCGTACAATTGGCACACAGCCCAGAAAAATGTATACAAACGACTGCACCAACACGGATCCCCCCCCCCCCCCCCTAAGATCTCGGCCATCGAGTGACGAAAAAATTTAAAATTTTGAAACACGGTACATGCATAGAACAACTCATCATTAACTTACCCAAGACATTTCATGACTATTGGTCAAAGAGTTTGGGAATTATGGCTAATTAATTGTTCACATGTACGAGTGGTAATTCTGCTCTGTGTGCACGACATAAATGTAGGGAAATCATGCCATATTTTAAATGGGGAGCGTCAATAAATCCTAAAATCATTCACACACTGTTAACTAATGCACACTAGTCACGACTACTTCTTTAGGGGGAGACCGTTCGCATGTACATCACAATCCTTCTTTTTGCTAATGCAATTTGTTTTTACGGAATTTATTTTGGGGGCTAGACAAAGTTTTTGGGGGGCTAAAGCCCCCCCAGCCACCCCCCCCCCCCCCCCCCCCCCCCCGTAGAACCGCGCCTGCATGCCGACTATGCTGATACAGATAGTGAGCTGAGATCTGTAACTTCATAAATGTACCAATTTAAAAAAAATCTTGTTAAATACTAAATGTGATTCACTGATATAAATTCAAAGCCATGTGCGGCACCCACGATTTTCATGCAAATTCAAGTTCGGCAATACAGTTTTTTTACAAAAACAAAACCCGAATGGATGTACTTGTACGATGACGCACACTACACGGCTGGTGGTCCATGAGAGTTTTGAACACCTCTCAGGTGTCACACATAAAATTTGGACTCTGATGAAATCTGGTCCTTTTTATTCTTCTGTTTTCGTATTGCTACAAACATAAGGTCTATAGCTGTCCCTAGGCGTACCTCACGATACGTCAGACGATCAGACGATCCTCGTGGAGAAAGGGGGTTTAAACCGTTCGGAAAGTGCCTTTAAATGAGCTTGATATTTTTTAAAAGAAAAATGGGGAAGACTAACCAGCATGGCTAGGAGGATATTTTTTAAAAAGAAAAATGGGAAGACTAACCAGCATGGCTAGGAGGATATTTTTTAGAAGGAAAATTGGGGAAGACTAACCAGCATGGTTAGGAGGATATTTTTAGAAGGAAAAATGGGGAAGACTAACCAGCATGGCTAGGAGGATATTTTTTCGAAGGAAACATGGGGAAGACTAACCAGCATGGCTAGGAGGATATATTTTTTATAAGGAAAATTGGGGAAGACTAACCAGCATGGCTAGGAGGATATTTTTTTAGAAGGAAAATTGGGGAAGACTAACCAGCATGGCTAGGAGGATATTTTTTAGAAGGAAAATGGGGAAGACTAGCCGGCATGGCTAGGAGGATATTTAAAAAAAAAAATAAAATAAATAAAGTTGGGAAGACTAACCAGCATGGCTCGGAGGGTACTTTTTAGAAGGAAAATTGGCGCAGCTAGTAGCCTAGCATGAATACTAAAGGAAGTTTACGTTAGGCCGTACAAACGCAGCGTGGAAAATTTCAAGGATTGTAAGGAACGGATCATTAAAACATACACCGGAAAGTGAAGTAGTTTATAGGTTAGTATAAGTAGTAAGGAATGCCGGCATGTAAAAGCTCTTACCAGTCTGTTTTGGTAAATTTGACAAGAAACCAGAAATTCGTCTAAAAAGCGAGACTCATCAGGTACAGTTCGCTAGACCTTGGGTAGGTTTCGTCTCGAGACTGTACGACCTACCCCGTAAGAACTCTTACGTGTTGATGTTATATCATAATTTATATTTCAAGGAAGGGGGTATTTAATTGGGTTGTAAGAGTATAATTTTCATTAGAGATCAACTCACCTAAAACGATAAGACGTCCGCGCATTAAAGCCGAGGATATGGTGTTAAGAGGTCACGTTCAAAGGTACAAGTACATGTAGTAAAGGAATTGCGTTTCAACGTCAGAAAATACGTGTTGTTCTTATGGTAGCTGGGAGCAAAGTGTGACGTGACGCCGGCGCGACGCACGGTTTTTTGAAAACGTCTAAGATACACGCGTATCATACGCGCGCGTAATAATGAATCGTTGTGCGTATCAATGAAAGGAGTGGCACAATATCAGTGCGGGGTCGACGTAAGTAAAAAACGCAGCTCAGAGATTGTTATAGGTTAAATACAAATTTTTTAGTTAAGCATCTCGTTCATAAAATTTATTTGATAATTTAATAATTTTTAAAATCTTATTAACGTGTAAGAAATAAGATGTTCCCAAAATAAGATAACGTTCGTGAAAAGAAAGAAGAAAGAGTTAAATAAGAATGGAAAATGTAGGGAGAAGAGGAAAAGGATTACAGGGAACGGCCCCGCAGACTCTCGAGAATTACGTAAGAACGCCAGTGCAAATCTGTCGACTTGTCTTCCAATTGTTTTCGTATTGCTACAAACATAAGGTCTATAGCTGTCCCTAGGCGTACCTCACGATACGTCAGACGATCAGACGATCCTCGTGGAGAAAGGGGGTTTAAACCGTTCGGAAAGTGCCTTTAAATGAGCTTGACGACCAGTTATAAAGATCCAATCATTGCCAAGCTCGGCACGAGGGGATACAAATGTTTACAGACACAAAGATGGCAACAAGTAAAACGACAGAACGAACGAAAATCTTTTTTGCCTGGAATTGAATTATTTATTTTAGTTGAAGGTATTATATGATTATTTATTTAAAGGCACTTTCCGAACGGTTTAAACCCCCTTTCTCCACGAGGATCGTCTGATCGTCTGACGTATCGTGAGGTACGCCTAGGGACAGCTATAGACCTTATGTTTGTAGCAATACGAAAAAAATTTGGACTCTGATGAAATCTGGTCCTCTTTATCCTTCTGTTGGTTGGACGTTCACAGTCTTCAATTAGGGTACGCAATAGTACCAATGAGTCCGTATTTCATAGAGTCATATAGATTCACACAACATCGGCAATCGGCATCGCCTCGTTCTCGATATGAGGACATTATTAGTACTATACTTGCGAAAGGCCCATTCCATAAACATAGCTAGAAGGGTGTTTCAGATACATGTAAATATGAAGTAAAATTGTTGTCGCTGGAAATGTATGATGTTTGACTTGTTTAATATTTTGATGGAAAGGTTGTTTTGTAAATAGGAATAAAATGTTCTGGTAGCTGATGATGTCCCTCGCCGTTGGCTCGGGCTTTTATATGTGTCCAGGGCGCAAGGCGTCGTTAAACGTTGCCTAAAACCTGCCCAGCGCATATTTATTTTCTTAGTAATACTGCATTTTACGAAACAGTGCCCACTGGATAAAGAAAAAGTGGTGAGAATGAGAAATGTTTACAAAGAGGTAAGAGGGATGTAAGAACAGGGAGGTAAGATTTATTTTTTTAATTGGCCTCCATTTCAAGATCCATTTTTATTTGAGTTAATTGGTAGCCACATTCTCTGGTGGTAGATTCGTCCAGAGGGTAAAATAGGGGACGAGACTTTTACGATCGTCTTTCTCGAAATCTCAGCAAGTTCCGTAGGAAGGACGATTTCCTGGGTATCTCTGAGAGTCTACACAGCATGATGCAGCGGCACACTTCTTTGAAGTCTGGGTGCCGGGCCGTGTAAATCACAGGGTTGATGCAGCTGTTGGTGATAAGCAGTGCGGCCAAGAAGGGAAGATGTTTCTGGGCATTTCCCTTCAGGGCAACCGCAGCAACTAAGTAGGGTGTGCAACAAACCATGAAGCAGAAGACGACTAGAAATAAAGTGAAGGTAACGTCAAGACTTCGGCGGAACGTGCGTCTGTGTCGATTGCGAGGATGCTGATGAGCGGATGGGTGACCCTCGCCATGCGTGCCTGGCTGCCGGCCAGGTAGCCTCATGACTGCACCAGCAAAGGCTATTGGCTGCTGTGGAATGACGTTGACTCTTTCGATGTGTTTTCTCACCGAAAACACGATGAAGGCACTGCTGGCGAAAACGACAACCAACTGCAAAGCGAAGAGGGTGACCGTGATCTTGGAGAAAGTACCGGAGCCTTGGGCGGTTGGGTTAAAGGAACAGGTGTTCAGATTGGTGTTATACTCGTACGAACCGGCCAGAGATGAAATGGGCAGAATACTGAAGGCAACTGGAACCAGCCAGTTCATAGCGACCGTGGCAGCCAGGCCGCGACGGTTGAACAGCCAGATCCGACGGCTTTGGTTCGTCCTGCGAGTGATCAGGGCGCGGTAGATGGCAATTGACGCGATGCTGTTCACACTGCACCCGATGCAAACGACGAATAGAAAGCCCTGGACTGCGCAAAGAGGCGGTGGAATAAGTAGCTTTTCTTTGCTTTCTCCCAGCACCGCCAGGATCATGATGGGCAGACTCAGACACGTGAGAAGGTCCGCCACGGCCAAGTTGATCACAAACACGTTGGTTGTGGTGCGTGGTTTGCGGGAGAGGATCGGGGCTAGCACGACGGCGCTGTTGCCGATCACACCGGCGAATGAGATGAGACCGTACAAGGCAGCTAACAACTGCTTCTCGCCATAACTGTCATAGACAGATGCCACCGAACCTTCATCGTCTGCTGGAGTAACGTTTGGCATACTGAAATTTAACTGTGGTTACAGATATTCTCAATGTCGTGATCGATGTACTGTACAACGCGCTATAAGCCCGTCTGATCTCGGTACTGTTATCAGTTACTTAAAAAACGCAATGACTCGGCTGTAGCACTGACATTAACTATGTGGAGGAGATTCAAGAGACCATGCAAATGACAATCAGTGAGGCTGGCCATACAATAACAAATGACTGCCTAATTGTTACCCTGGAGAGAACCTATATATGCGTTGTAGTCAGGAAACCAAAATCACCTTGTTGATGAGCTGGCCTAAGACTAATGACTGTTTGTCATTTGTCATCTTGGCTGTTTTCGTTCCCAGTTCCTAATCATACCCGTACAATGTGTAGGATCTCCTCAGGTGGACGGAATTTGCAAGCTTTTATCATTTCGATTTCAAAGGTTGCAGATTGAGTTACATAAGCCTGCTCTCGATGACCGTATAATCATAGAGCGTATAATGCAGACAAGTAAAGCTTCGACGGATAGACGTTTTGATAACTAAATGTACTTACTTGTCTGATGCTTATCTTACAATGTCGCCATCGGATGCAATCCGGAAACAAGTGTAAGACAAAAATGGATGATTATCATACAGTTTGATAGATTTATATTGACTCGAGGCGATGAATCGACTAGAATCCGACGCGAGTCAATTTTTTGTGTGTGACTCGACTCGACTCGAGTCACTGCGAGCAAATGACTCGACTCGACTCGAGTCCCGCACCAGTAGACTCGATTCTAAGGCTTATGAGACTCGAGTCCCAAAAATAAAAGCAAAACTCGAATTAGGCCTACGGTGCAAAATATGTTCACGTCTATTCGCGAATACAATACGCCCGCCGTGAAAAGACATTCGACGTGTCACAGACTCCTACCTTTTGGTTCTGGAACGCAAAAAAATACTAGCCCGGAACCGGACTAAAACCCTGTCACCGTCGATCGTACAATTCGTACTACATTTGTATATGAATATACATTGCGAAACTCGCCTTATGAATTAACTCCCTCTCAAAAATACGTCAATGGAGGGGGCACCGATCCTTTGTAAGATTTCTCCAATGTAAACAAAATGATGCGTCCGTTATGTTCTTTGATTTTTTTTGCTCAAATTTGAGGATTTTCCCACTTCTGGTTTTCAGTAGCAGGTACTTATTTCAAAGGTAACCTTTATGTAGCTGGTGTGTTTGGGTGAATAATAAATGATTCGGATAATCAGTGGGATTTATTGGACGAAAACGATGAAGAAAATACCTGTCTGGAGATGATTCTGTCAAGTCGCCCCCTGACCGAGTTGCCCCAGATTGTCATTATGTATTCACCGTTTTAAGTAGTTTATTTCTAGAGTGGCTATACTAGGGGCCTAGGTCCAACTGGTATACAATTTTACACACAATTTTGACAAATCCAGGAGATTGACCGTACTCTTTAATCAATTGATTTCGTGTGCGACAGGAGCGACCCGATCGATGGGATGGTGTGTACATGTATATAACGGGGCGAGTGTTTTGGAATTGCTGCGACCTTGCGTTGTACGGGGTGAAAAATGGTACCCTGAATAAGTGGTTAGTATTGTGTTAGCATACTTTAAAAAAAAACGACTTGGGAGCAAGTGATACACACATGTAAACATGCAAAACCCTCCGACTATAGTACGATTTGTTTTTCAAGATTGTTATTCCAACACATCGAAACAGGTTTGTTTATGGTTGTAAATCGAAGATTGATCGAGTGGATTGTTCTTCATCATCAATCTTTTGTTTTTACTCAATTTTTTTTTGGGCAACAGCTCTTATTGGTGTTGCACCCGTTTACTAATCGAGGTCGTTCTCGATTGGACTCCTCTCTCCAATTACCTCAATTACATGTTTCACATGTGTGTCCTCGATTTACAGCATAAACATGCACACCCACACACGCGTTTGTTCATGGTGAAAATCGAGGATTCCTCTTCCCTTTTCCTTTGTTTGTACCTTTTCGTACATCTTGAAGTTAAGAATCCAGTACTTAATTTATTGCAGTTGCCAGTTTCATCTTCCAGTTGCTACCACACATTGGACTCCAAGGACCTGATTGTGTTAGCCTGAGAAACTAGACAATGTGAAAACGGTAGTATTAATATCAAAAAAAACAATGTCCTCAAACTCACAAAAGAGTTTACTGGGACTCGGAGACTTCTGAAAGAAGTTCCATTACGGGAGTGAATTGCGCCCTCTTGGTATAGGGTGCTCTAATGCGGTTTCAGGACTATGCCCGCTGGATTGTCAACATTGTATTTAAATGAGAGTGACATAATGTCCCTGTGTTGAAATGCAGACGTGTCAGGGGCGTAAATCCGGAGGGGGGTATAATCCCCCCACACTTTTTGACCGGGGATGGGCTATTGAATCCCCCTCCCCCACTTGTTTTTGGTGAGAAACCAAAAAACTGGATCCCGAGGTATTTTTCGAACTTCCCAACAACCAAAATGTATTCAATAGTACAAACAAATGGAGAACAAAGTACAAAAGCTAAAAATGCGCCGTTTTTATTTAAGCGCGAGTAAACATACATTTGTATCATGAACAGCGCCCCCTAGCTTAATGTGGTATGCAGTCCCCCCCCCCCCCTCCCCTGCTTTTCGAATTTCCACGGCCGGGCAAGATTTGGATTGTGGTCATCCCCCATCCCCCATCCCCTCCCTCCGTCCACCCCCCTTCACCCTCGCCTCACAGATTTAGAAGTGCCAAAATTCAGAAATGCCAAATTGCACATCTATTTCTTTTCCCACCAACTTCAACTGTTTAAATGACACTTTTGATTCCTGTTTTCATATAAACAACCTATGAGTTCTGATTTGAAGAGCTTCTCTACTTTAATCACCTGCCCACAGTCCTGTTTTCTCGTAACATCAACCTGTTTAATATAATGGAGATACCATACTCACAGCAAATGACACACGAGGAAAATGGGAAGCTGTATAAAAGAACATCATGTATGTTCTCATCCAACTTTGCTGTCTCCAATAGCGCCCTCGGCTAAAAGATGAGTGATTTACGAATTTTAAGAGTCAAAACCGAGGCTGGCAGTGTTAAACGACACATTTGAAGATCTTGTTTGTAACTCTTCCCAAGGCAAAAGAGAGTGCGTGAGTCGCGCAGTCAATGTGAAGAGCGCCCCCACTCTATAAATTCCGAAATGTGAAACTACGGACTACGATTTAGACTGAAGATCGCTTCCGTTTGACATTGAAATACTCTGAAAATAAAATTTAGAGTATCGTCTGGTTTCTAGTTTCAGTCGGTGGACGTGACTTTCGGGCCTACGAAAAATTTAGGGCCTACGAAAAAATTGGGGGCCTACGAACAATTTAGGGGAGGGCCTACGAAAATTCCGCATTGTACCATAAAACACATAGGCATACCCACACACACCCACACGCGAAGAGAAAAGTTTTTTAAAAGTTTTAGGGTCTCTCTCAGAATTTTCGATTTCACCAACCAACGTTGTACAGCATGTATGCATACGCCCTAAGTAGAAAATGTACGTGTAAAGTTTGTCGTTCTGAAGCACGGTGCCAACCATGGGCGTCGATCGTTTGGGAACGGGGGACGATTTTCGTCCCTGAAAAATGATGATCTTGTGCTAAAACTTTGGCAGTCGTCAGAAATTGCCCTTAGATCGCACCACAGGGCGCCTAGAATCATTTTTATTTCAGGGGCCCTTAAGCGGGCCCCGAACCCCGCGCCGTTTATAGGCTTCGCACTCGCACAATTAGTACTGATCAAGATACACATGTATGTACCACCCCCACTTTGAGAAGCGAATGACGCCCTCAAGAATTGGTGCCAACAGGCTGTTAGAGATAGGACCTATACCAGTTTGGCCTGGCTTGATTTGTACAGCCCCCCCCCCCTCCCATACAAAAGTGTGTTCAGGATCCGTCCTTGTACCCCCACTCCCAATAGGCCTAATCTATAGCCACAGATATTTATTTTGTGTTTTTTTCAGACAGGGACATTTTCCGGTTCTTATTACATGATTTTCCTAGAGTGTCCAACTTCAGGCGTTGATTACTCATTACATGGTTTTTGGGGACATTCCTCATTTTGCCACATTAGGTCACAAAATAATGTGCCCCCTCGAGATAAAAATAAAATCGCACATGAAAGCACATGAAAGCATTATGATCGCGTTTAAAAATGATATCCTCTCTTAATGTAATGCAATCCCCTCAAAAACACAAATACCCCTCGCGCATTAACAAAATTGTGAACCTTCTCGAGATGGAAAACTATCCCTCGAAAATACGAATGACCCCTGTCGCAATAAAAAAAAATGCCCCTCTCAAAGGGAAAACTGGCCCGTAAAGAAATAATAGTGCTCCTTACGCTTTAAAATGTAATGCAAACATTTAAAAAAATGTATATCAATGTTGGTAGTAAATTTTGCTCTGGGTAACATGTATTCCTTGCAATGTGAACGAAAATAGTTTTACAATATTCTCCTCTCTCACACCGACGGAAGGTGCCTTTTTTCGGAGTAAATGCCTTTTTTTTGGTAATGCCCCCAGTTTTAAAAACGTTCCGCCGCCGCCGATGAGCGTATTACATGTGCAGGTGTTAGAAAAAATTATACTCGCTTGTTCAGTACACAATACGACCCCAATTTAGATCGTTCAGTCGCCAAAGGTTCATGGATTTGCTTCGTTTCATCTCAAAGCCTTTTTCGCGACCGTAGACTTGAGTCAAGGCGTATGGCAACCCGGACACGAAAAAAGACCATGCGAGTGGACGTGGCAGGCTCGTTGGCTCCGTGCGCTGTCATCAGGGGCGTAATTCCCGGTGTGGGTCGGGGTGGGGATGTATACCCCCCCCCCCCCCCCCCCCCCCCCACACACACACACACACACACACACACTTTTTGACCGCGGGGATGGGTTATTGTATCATCCCCCGCTTTTTTGTGATGAGGGAAAAAATGAGGATTTTGAGGTATTTTCCG